CCCCACCCACCCCCCTCCTATTCATTTCACTTGCATTTATGCCATTGTTGAAATCGAGTCAGTAAAGCAGCCAATTGAAATCCACCTAAACTACAAACGACAATGACCGTCCATAAAACAGACAATGAGAGGAAATGGGATTACAGAAATGAACTTCCGGTTTGAAGAAAATTGGATTGTGCTTCGTAAAGCGCTTTCATCGCCATGTTGGTGTTAAAAATCTTTAAATCATTTTAATTGATAAGACATTATTTTGCGTGAAAAAGTCATCGAGTAATGTTGGATAGAAGGTTAGAATGCAAGAAAAAAATACGACTTGAAGTGGCAGAATAAAGCAGTAGACCCAGGATTGACAAGACATCACAAAATTGTAACTCCCATATTAAATCAATTCCACTTAAACCCGACTAAACCGCTTTTCCCTCGAAGAAATTGCCGAATTTATCCCACGCAAAGGGCGCCGCCGTTAATGGCTACGAAAACGCAACTAAACACACAATTAACCAATCATGTTTATCTTTTCCCTTTTCATGCAACAATCACAAGCTACAGAACAGGTGGAACCAATGACTGTGACCGAAGAAGAACCAATGGACAAGGATACCGAGATGTGAGCATCATGTTAACTTCTCTGACCCCGGAAGTAGACGAGAAGATGTCTGAACCATCCCTCTCCACCCCCCACCCCACCCCACCCCATCCTCGTACAACAGCATATCGGAGAAATAAGTTGCAATAGTCCACAATAAACGCTCGATTGGTCTACGTTTTGAACAGGCAGACACAAACGAAGATGGCATTTCCATTACATACTGTGTCCAATAGGTGGAAGACTTCAGAGAAGCTTAAAAATTTTCCAAGTAAAGGACTCGATATTGTTTATAAAAATAGGTAGAAAAAAAGTCAACTCACCGTGATATATTTGGGGAAATCCTCGACCACATCCAGACCAATCCATTTCCCTGTTCCATTTGGAAGTAGTGAAGTTATCTGCATTGAGAAGTCCAAACGGATTGCGTTTAAATATATACATATATACACATTTGAGAAGAAAAAAACAAAGTATATTCTACTGAGAAAAAATTACGCTAGACTTGGGTTGCATTGGATTATTCGGCAGACCGGAAGCAATAACATGGGCATAATCGACATCGGAAACAATGTCCAACTGGAAGAGCATCTTCATGACGATTTGAAGGCCAGTGAAGCAGAATATGAAGGTGACCAGAAAACCGTGGAGGAAGGGAAATGGAAAGCAGACCACAACGATGATCACTGGAATGATGTTCGTGATTGTCACCTGAGAGAGATGGAGAGAGAGATTGAAACAAAAAAGGTCACAATAATTATGCAGAGATGTATGCCGTTATACGTTCACTTCCAGATGATAAAAAATTAAGACAGTAAGGAGTCAAGTTTCGACACACACACACACACACACACACACACACAATCTGCAACGTCGAGTATAACAAATTCAGATCCCACGTGTGTGTGTGTGTGTGTGTGTGTGTGTGTGTATGTGTGTGTAGAGTGATGCCTATAGATGCTCAACTGTACTTGTTTACATCGGTTAGCAGGGGTGTGCGATAGACTTACTTCCACGTGGTGCATCCTGGGCAACGTGTACTCATACGGGAAAAAAGTCTATTTACTGGCAGTTGACTTCTGACTCCAAACTACCATCTCCCCATTTTATGTCATATTCGACTACTTCCATAGTACTCACCTCACCTTTTTTCTACCTTCGTCTTTGAAGCACTCTTCTGTTCCCCCCCCCCCCCCCCAACTTTTTTTCCACTTTGATGTTCCTCCTCTTCTCTGTGAAGCCTGAAGTCAACTAAAGGGCTAATGATAACTATCAAAACGCCTGCCATTTGATATAAAACATTGGTTAGCAAGGGACGGCTAAAAACTACTCCCTCCCCCCCACCCATATAAACGGACTTGGAAAGCTGTCACTTATATCAGCGTAAATATTAATGAAGTCAGTATCGCCTACTTCTCATACAATAACCTCTGATTATATGAGCACCATAAATTATAACTTAATAGTTATAAACATTCTTCCATAAATGCAGCCACAAGGAAGGAGACTAGCAAGTTCAGTTGGACTGTTAAAAGGCATTTTTGCTCATACTGCATGCTAATAACATCTCCTGCAACCCACATGGAATGTGATCGATAAACCATTGACCTAAATAAAATACTACGTACTCACTTAACTGACCTTCTTTCCGGACTACAATAACTCAATCATGTCTGGGGTTAACCTAAACCAAATTGAGAGGGGTTATATAGAAATTATAACGTGGATGCTGCCTGGATTACCGTTGAAATGGTCGTCCTCCAATTTCAGCAACTTGGATTAACTAAAGAATACAGTGGAAACAGTGAAACGATTTCTTGAGACCACTGGAGAGTGGACTCAAATTCGTATTCGAAGACAAGACACATTAGGTTAAGATTTTGCGAGACCGTCAACTGGACTTCCCTACCATCATCACTAAGTGCAATAACACGCAGGTGAAATGTGCTGGTGGAAGAAATTTCAGGGCAAAAATTACCGATTTTGTGAAACTATCTCAGTTCAAAAATGCTAGTTTTAAAGCTATAAAGCCTTAATTGCACAAATCTAAGTTTTTTTTTAAAAAATCGCGGGTAAACAGTCATCCCAACGATGTAAACATTCATTCCAAAGCTTCACCAAAATTGTGCAACTTTATGTAAGCAACCGCAGTGGAGAGGCACTTATTTGTTTGAAAGTATGCACTTAAATATTTCAATTTATTGCTCGGGAGAATGAAAGCGTTACTAAATTATGATTGGGTGAATTATGAGTAAAAAGACTTTGGGAAGCCTTAAAGCACACACACACACACACACACACGTGCATCTTGAAAAGTCAGATAATTAACTTGGTTTTCAAAAACATTACCGTTTTATTTAGTGGTAGTAGTAGTATTTTTTTCAGTAACATTAATAGACAATGAAGTATAAAGTTAACTCACCTCTTTAATAACTGAAAACATGACCAGAAGACAGACAACTTTGATCCAGTGCACCTCTGCAAACCTCCAAGCCACATTTCGTGAAGTGGCCATAAACCGATGGATTGAGGTAGCGACAATATTAAATACCGAATGGAAGTCCTCAATGAAATCTACAGAGAAATTGGAAACAGATGAGAGGGGACTTCAATAAACCCCGCAAGGAAAAACAAAAAAAAATAAGTTGAAACTGGAAAAAAACAATTACTGGACTGGGTCTCAAAGGAGTCACCATCATTTGGTCGAGAGACAGATGACTCTCTGTGACGGGCAAATTGATTGGTTTGCTCATTTTGATCTCTAGGAGAGGGAAAAGGTAAGAATTAGAAAGAGGTAAAACAAATAAGAACAATTGTGGACTAAATATACAACATTTAAAGTGTGTGTGTGCGAGCTACCACCACCACTTAACTTGTCATCGGTTAAAGTAATTAAATAAATTAAAATTTATACATACTGATATCGATCCAATGAGGAAAGTTTGAGGAATGGTTCGTGAAAGTAGTGCATCTGGAGAATGATCACCACCATAAATGCCACCGGCATCATCAAACGATCGAAGAGTTCTGCACTTTCAAACTGCTCTAAGCCAATAGCCTTCAAGCTATAAAGGAGAAAAAAAAAACAAAGAATGTGTGTCATTAATGTGAGGATTATTGATCTTAGTGCACTACAACGCGGTCACATTGCTAACTGCGCAAATATGTCACTTGTGCCAGCACAAACTTGCTACATATATTTAAAAAGAAATGCGTTCATCACAATGATCAGCCAATATTATTACAGTGAGCGTATCTTGGTTTAGTTTCATAGATAGTCGATGATGATTTGATTGGAAAGTGACTTTCCGTTCCTTCAGATGCCGACGTACAAAATGGCATAACCAATGGCACCCACAATCCGATCATCAGTAAGATACGAATTCTTGGAGCGAGGAAGATGAAAATTTGATTCTGAGGTATGAATGTTCTGAGGACGGGTGGTGTGATGCAAAGACAACTATCTCCTCAATTTTTCTTTGGAATATACACATATACATCTAGTTAGTCACATATTTTTCTACATTTAAATGCTTTCAGGAAATAAAAAAAATTGAACTACTATTGAGAGAGAAAAGAATAGATTACAAAAGTAGTTCAAAAGATTAAACGAGGAGACGGAAACACAAATGGAAGTGATCGAACGACAATCGGAAAGAAATGCGACATCACAGAAGCCTTAAAATTCAATTCACTTAAGCAATATAACTAGATTACGGGGTGTGCGATAGGCTGACTTCCACGTGGTGCACCCTGGGCAACGTATGCTCATAGGGCAGAAAAGTCTATTAACCGGCAGTTGACTTCGAACTTCAAACCCCACTGTATGCCACGTTCGACAACTTCCACAGTACTTATCTAACTTTTTCTCTACCTTTGTCTGCCCCTTTTACATCTGTGAATCATTATTCTGTCCCCACCCCTCTCGAATTTTTCTCCCTTTGATGTTCCTCCTTCCCTCTGTGAAGCCCGAAGTCAGCTAAAGGGTTAATGCTAACTATCGAAACGCCTGTCATTTGAAGTGAATATTACTAGAATACACGTTATGTAACTTCATAAAAATACTATATCAACCCCCCCCCCAATCTAAGGCGCGATTGGTTTATGAAAGGCACACGCAGACCAATAAGAATGCGGCATTAACGGGTGAAATAGTTGCATAGATAACGTGCAGGGATAACTTACAGTTGTGGGCTGAGACCAGTTCCATTCTGCCAGTAGTATGGGAAGAAGGTGAATTGATAGGTGTAGGTACAGAGAAGCACACCAATCGAGTAGATTATGTAAATCCACCAGAAGGTGGGCATTTGCTTCCTCCAGAACCGATAGCTCACCTTTAAAGAGGGGAGGGAGTAAACAAGAGCATACAAGAAATCATGTACAAGAGCAGGTCAAAAATAAATGAGTGAAACTGAGGGCGTAGAACTTCGATATGGTCTCTAATAAAGAAGATATTAGGAGGAGGAGGAGGAGGAGAGGGGGGAGGTGGAAGTTTCACATGCTCCAAACCTCCATGATCTCCACTTCAAGTAAGGAGCGGTTCCAAGGTAAGTAATTTCATCTAAATACTACTACCACAGTTTGGATAGTAAGCACGAAAAAAAACCCGATCACAGTTGGAACAAATTCCTAAAACACAAATTTCATATGTAACTACTATGCGACAGATACATATGCTACCTACAATATGAGCAATATGTAACTAAATCCCTTTTAACTTCATTACTACTAATAAATGGTAAAATGTTTTGGGAAGCGTATTACAATTCACAGATGGCGTCCCCAATTCCCGCTGACCTTGAAGAAAGCACTTTTAACCAACTCTTCTAAAGTACTTCGGAATACCACGCCTCGAGCGACCGGAAAGTCATCCTTCCATGCAAAGACATTGATGTCCTTAATATGTGTATTGACGTATTTCCCTCTCAACTCCTCTATACAACCAACTGTATCATGCCTTGAGAGTTGTTTCTATTTGCTCCGGAATTGAAAGTGTATATGGTCAAATTTCCTGCGCACACACGATCCAGATGTGTATATGCTCGAAGCTTCCCACATGTAACCCCCCAAAAAGAACCTTCATCCGTCGATCCCTCCTCCTCCTCCTCCTCCTCTTTACAGCCATGCAGGGAAGGCGTTAGTAACTACAGTGGAAGTAGACAGCAAGATACCAGTGTGACAGGGGTTGAACATACGACTCCTCCACTCATGGTTGAAATCAAATTCAAAACAGGAGGGAGGGGGGATGGTGTTGGTTATATTTTACAAATCGCCCCCCCCCCCCAACCCCCTAGAGTAGGATGGCAATCCTGAGGACAGTGAAATAAGAGGCGGGGGGTGGGGGGGGGGGAGGGGATTTTGCCCGGAGGAAACCAAGCATGAATAGGATTCTGAAATTATTTCTTCGGCTTTTGTGTATCGACGGAGAGAGCCAAAAAAGTACAGATTAAATGAAATCTACAGCAAATTGTAGCCAGTAGGAGAGAAGCAAAGAAATTCGTCAAAAAATGTTCGGCATTAAGTTAATTAAATCCTTACTTTGAATAGGCATCAATGACAATTTGAACTTTCGAGAAATTCGTATTTATTCAAATTTCAAAGTTTCATCAAACCAATAAATGTTAAGCCTGCTTCTTTAATCCTGCTGAACGTCTAGTAGACCTGATTCTACTGATTTGGCTAGGCTCTTCACAAAAGATTAGACTCAACTCCGACTGCATTACTCATTTCTCAAAAAAAACATAAACCCCGCGACTTTAGCTCGACAACTTCCAGTCGGTTACATTGCTCACGTCCAGTGCGCGATAGACTTACCTCCACGTGGTGCACCCTGGACAACGTATCTTCTTACGGCAAAAAAGTCTACCACTCGGCATTTCGTACTTTCTTACGGCAAAAATTCTATCACTCGGCATTCGTTTTTTTACGGCAAAAAAGTCTACCACTCGGCATTTGATTTGACTTCGATTTATTATGATAAACTTGAAAAAAAAGGCTATAAGAGAAATCACAACGTCTTCAGATCCTCCAGTGGAATGCTGGAGGAATGTCTCCGGACAAAAAGATCCAAGTACAGAAAATCCTACAAACCTATGATGTAGACATTTTCACAATTATGGAAGCGAACATCTCGGATGACAAACTGAAGTACTACCAATTCCCAGGTTACACCCTGTACAATCTACCTAAATACCAGCAAGTTGCAAGTGGAATTCTAACTGGAGTAAAAGAAGGCCTCACCTCACACTTTAAATTAATGGATCCTAGGATTTTATGGACTACATTTTAACAATAGAATCGATTGCCACTACTCAATTTTTTTCAGTTGGTAAACTTATAGCTGCTCTTTTGTCCTACGGTCTCAAGTTGCAACCAAGAAGACCTATGAAATAACCAATCGAATTCATTACTAAATAAATTGATCAATTGAAACTAAAACCACATTCTTAGTATTACCGAATCAACAAGAGCATTTATGACTAATATTTAACAAGCTATGCTGTTGATAGAAAAACAAAGGCACGAAAAAACAATCGCGAATAATAGGAATACGGTCTTAGCCATTAGCATATTAAATAACGCCAACTGGTAAAGAGAATTTCAAACAAAACCAAAGTGTTCTCCAGCACTTGGCTAAAATTTATCATTATCAATCTTCGAAAAGGAGGGGTGTGCGATAGACTTGCCTCCACGTGGTGCAACCTGGGCAACGTATACTCATTAACTTGACTTGACTCCAAACTACCATCACCCCACTGTATGTCATATTCGACCCATTTCACAGTACTCATTTTACCCTTTATGAGCCTCTGTGTCTGTCTCTTTTACATTATTGAAACACTCTTCTGTTCCCTTCCCCTCTGTGATGCCTGAAGTCAACTAAAAGGCTGACGATAACTATCAAAATGTTTGTTATTTGATATAAATAAATAAATAAACCATCGAAAAGGAAAGTAATGGCGGAAACAACACTTAGGCACGAAAAAAGGACATAATTTTTCAGTGAGAGCTGAAGGACAATGGCATCGAGTACAAGGTATATCAAAGAACCTCAAATTCAGTTCAGTCGTTTTACCTTCACAAACTGAAGAGAATCAAATTGCTTTTGAACCTACCTCTCATCAAACCACAGAGCCTGTTGATATTGAAGAATTTGGCGCGGGGATAGGCTTGGAATCTCGCCAGCCATCCCTGGCACAAAGCAAATATCAAAGCCCCTCTTAATTACAGGGAGAGGAGGGGGTG